TGGATGCGCATGGCAGCCGTAAAAATCCAGCCTGTAAGGCAACCCTTTCAATCGTGTACTGAGAGAGGTGGCCGGCTCCTCGTCGCGGGTGAAGGCCGGATGGTCTCGCCGGCCTGGACAACCCCACAGCTGGGGCCTCGTGTAACCCAGACCCCCGGGAGGATCCAAAAAGTAGATCGCTTAAGGGGGGTTCCTATGAAGAGCCCTTAGTAGGATAGGGTCCCAAATTAGGGGTTCTACTTTCTAGATCCTTCCGGTGGTCTGGGAATAAGGTAGAAGCCAGAAAGTTGGAACATCATTATCCTCATGCCCTTAAGGTAAAGTATAGGGGACCCCAGCACTAAACGTTGCAACTTTGTGGGATCCAGAAAATACGGGGCGGAAGAATCAGAAATTCACATCCCATCAGTCCCTGCCGAAGAGTAGTTTGAGGTACCTTATTGATGAGGTCCTTGAGTTCTTGTACCCGACTGTGCAAGTAGGGCTTTCAAAGTTCTTTAATTCGAACCTTCATTTTGCGCTTGTAAAGAAGGCTTTCGATTTTCCAGGGTTTTCGAAGGGCTTGACCCGAAACCCTAAACCCCCCTAAACCCTAAACCCTAAACTCTAACCCCTCAAAAAAACACGAGACCTGACAATTTCCAGAGAGGGGCTCTTTGATTTTGGGCTTCACCCCGTGCAGGCCTCGGCCTTTTTGGGGTATAAGCTTGCCCGGATTCTGGGTTTAGGGTTTAGGGTTTAGGGTTCAGGGTTTCGGGTTCAGGGTTTAGGGTCTAGGGTTTAGGGTTTAGGGTTTAGGGTTCAGGGTTTAGGCTTCAGGGTTTCGGATTGAGGGTTTAGGGTTGATGTAATTTGGGTTGAGTGTTTGCGGGGAGGAAGCTTGTTTAGAAGCTCAAGGAGGCTTCAGATGTTTTTGGGGCTTTCTGCACGTTGAAACAAGCTGTGATGGTTCAGCATACAAACGACTAAGATGTACAAGTGCGCCCGCGCAGACAAACGGGGATAAATTATATATCATGTCGTCTACAAGGCTTTCTCTAAAGCTTTTCCCTAAACCCTACCTTAAGAACCCAAAACCCACTTTTTTTGTAGATTCTTATTATAAACCCAAATATGGGATTTATAGGGACCCTACAAAAAAGTAGGTTTTGGGTTCTTAAGGTAAACCCTAATTCCTAAATCTTTTGCAAGGCACGCGCTCGTTGCGGGCTGTGCAGGGGTTAGAGCTGCTGGCTCAAGGTTGTATACATTTCCCGTATTTAAAGACCCGATGCTGTTTTGGGCGAAGTTCCATGTGCTGTTGGGCCCCTAAACACTAAACCCTAAACCCTGAACCCATCTAACATCGCATGAAGATTTCTTCAGACTCGTTACGCGGAAGCCCTCAAGCCTTGTAAAAGCTTCTGAAGCCTTGCAAAACCTTTGTACACCACCGCGAAGTTCAGAGTCTGCAAAAAGAATGACGCCCACAAGCAAAACCTTACACGCCTAAACCAAACCCTAAATCCCAAAATGCCCACAGCTCCAACCTTCCTAAAGCCTGCACCCTAAACCCTACACCCTTGTGTATGTTGATGCCAGATGGCCCAAGACAACAACCCCAAAACCCTAAACCCCAAATCCTGAACTCTGCCTACACAACTTAATAAACCCTAAACCCTAAACCCTAAACCCTAAACCCTAAACCGTTCCCGGGGCCCTTAGAACTTTGCATCGATTTGACGTAGAAGCCGAGGCTTCGATTACTGGGAGCGCCTCCATAGCTGGCCGCTGGTGGACGGGGCGGCGTTGAGGCATTTCGGGGAGAGGGGGCGGGGGCAGATGTAGGGTTCTGGGGGTTTAGGGTTTA